TCTTTTATCATACCCTTAATGTTTAAGTCCTGGGTCTGCCTTTACCAGGAGTCTACCCTTGATACCCAGTCAGGTTTCTGCTTGTGGTTTCCCACCCGCTGATTGTCTCACTCCCTCGAATACAAAACCAACAGTCCTTGCTATACTGGGAAGTGAAGGTCAGTCTCTCCTCCATTGCAATTGTCTTGAACGGTATTACCATTTGCAGAGTGTCTGGATGTTTTTTTTTTTACACCTGATAATCTCACATTCACTTTTGACATCTTAGAAGAAATTTTCTTTTTTTTTCTTTGGAATTTCTTCAGTAATCTGTCGCCTCTAAATATCCTGAATGATTACATAAATATGTCTTAGATTCCGTCCTACATCATCTCTTCACATCTCCACAACAGTAGTCACATCCTTCTTAATTATATATAATTGTTGTCTTCATTCCTCTTTCTTTTTTTTTTTTTTTTTTTTTTAGGCGGAGTTTTGCTCTTGTTACCCAGGCTGGAGTGCAATGGCGTGATCTCGGCTCACCGCAACCTCTGCCTCCTGGGTTCAGGCAATTCTCCTGCCTCAGCCTCCTGAATAGCTGGGACTACAGGCACGCGCCACCATGCCCAGCTAATTTTTTGTATTTTTAGTAGAGACGGGGTTTCACCATGTTGACCAGGATGGTCTCGATCTCTTGACCTCGTGATCCACCTGCCTCGGCCTCCCAAAGTGCTGGGATCATAGGCGTGAGCCACCGCGCCCGGCCTTAATTCCTCTTTCTGAATAGAAGCTCTAATAAGACACCACACTATCCATGAAAGCACAGCCAAGTGCAGGGCATAGAGAGGACGTTCAAATGGTGACCTATTTCCACTTGCTTCCTAAATTTTAGAACTGGTTTTCCCACCCGCCTTTGGGTAGGAAAGTATGACATTTTCATGCTTGACCACAGATTTATCTTGCAAATGTCTCAGGTGTGTGATTGTATTGCTGGGGAAAGAAATCTCTTCAAAACATATTCACCAGCCATCATAAAAACCCCCACGACGTTTCCAGCTTGGTCTTTATTGTTCCTGCTTGTGAAACGAAAAATAAATCTTGGGGCCCCACAACCACTAAGCTAAAAGGAAAACTCAGGCTGGGAACTGCTTATGGTCAACATGCCTCGCATTCTAATTAAAGTTACCAATATGCTCACCAAGATAAATGCATATCTGATTGCCTCCTTTGGAGAAGCTAATCAGAAACTTTAAAGAATGGAACCATTTGGCCGGGCGCGGTGGCTCACGCCTGTAATCCCAGCACTTTGGGAGGCCGAGGCAGGTGGATCACGAGGTCAAGAGATTGAGACCATCCTGGTCAACATGGTGAAACCCCGTCTCAACTAAAAATACAAAAAATTAGCTGGGCATGGTGGTGCGTGCCTGTAATCCCAGCTACTCGGGAGGCTGAGGCAGGAGAATTGCCTGAACCCAGGAGGTGGAGGTTGCGGTGAGCCGAGATCGCGCCATTGCACTCCAGCCTGGGTAACAAGAGAGAAACTCTGTCTCAAAAAAAAAAAAAAAAAAAAGAAAGAGGAACAACTTGAAACAGCCAGGAAGTTTCTATCTTATGAAATGGACTATAAATCTCGATCAGTAACAGTCAACAGATCACTCTGAAATTAGTCTATTGCCTTCAGACGTTGACAGGTACAAGAGGTTTTCTGAGTTTGATGCAGACCAGAAAGGCTTTACTACCATTACTTACGTTCCTTGTGTATGAGAGAGTATCAGTGCCCAGAGGGATGAAACACACTCCTTGAAATTCTAAATGAAGGCAGCTGGAAGAAAAATGGACAGGTTGGACTCAGTGAATTGTTGCAGCCGGGTGCTGGTTAACAAGGAAGGGTGTCTGGAAGGCAGCCTGCTGTACTATGAAAACTGCGGAAGAGAACCTAGACAAAAGAGTTCCAGCTCCAGTGGGCCACAGTTACAGCAGGGACCAGGCTTCCAGTGTGACGGACCTGGGCAGATCTGTGTTTGTTAAACAGGCCTTGTTTGTGCTTTGCTGGGAATGAAGTTCCTTCAAGGACAAAGAAAAGCACACTTTTCTTCTTTTGAGCATATTTGCTCTTACTTAAAATCTGCTAAATTCTAAAACATACAGTCCTTCACCAGTCTCAGAGACTCCTTTGGAAATAAACTGATTTCAAGCTGTTCTAAAGAACCCCAGCATTTTGCATAAGTTTTTTTTTTTTTTGAGACGGAGTTTCGCTCTTGTTACCCAGGCTGGAGTGCAATGGCGTGATCTCGGCTCACCGCAACCTCCGCCTCCTGGGTTCAGGCAATTCTCCTGCCTCAGCCTCCCGAGTAGCTGGGATTACAGGCACGCGCCACCATGCCCAGCTAATTTTTTGTATTTTGAGTAGAGATGGGGTTTCACCGTGTTGACCAGGATGGTCTCCATCTCTTGACCTCGTGATCCACCCGCCTCGGCCTCCCAAAGTGCTGGGATTACAGGCGTGAGCCACCGCGCCCGGCCCATGTCAGCCTTTTTTAAGGAGGGAAAAAGCCCTACTGTTTTTAAAGAATGGCAAGCGTAAGCTCAGCACTAGGTGAATAGACACACTGCGTGTGTGCATATGTGGTGCTTTCATGTGTTGTGTTGGGTTGTTTCTAGGCTGGACCGTTAAACACTGTGTGAGGCCGGGTGGCCATTTTTATAACTGTCTCGGTGTTTTATGGCCATTAGTTACCACTTTTGATGTTCAGGAAGAGCTACATGCATTTATAGACCCAGAAGAGGTGGACTTCACGTGCCTTGTTTTTAACTAAGAACTGGAAGCATGAGTCCGTAAAACTGATTAAAATGGTCAGAACAGGAGCTGAAGTGTTAATGATTTTCTTTAAAACGCATGCAGAACACACACACGCGCACTCACACATACAGCAGCCAAATGGTGGATCTAAATGGAGCTGTGGTGGCGAGAACTCTGGGCAGTGGAATCTTGCCCCCAAATGCGCAGCGTTCCGTGTTGGAGATGGCGACGCCCTCTTTTGTTTATTTCCCATATAAAACAATGCAGGCCCTGTCCTGAAAATCATCACCCAAGCAAGAATGAGGAACACCGTCTTCCCAAACAGGACACCTTCCTGGCCTATGATGAACCTTGGGGCCTGGCTCTGGCATGCACAGCCGTGTCCTACTCTGCCCTCTCTGTTCTGATCCTTGTGGTGTTTGTGTGGCACTGAGACACTCCTCGGAGCTACATCTTCCTTGTCTCCCTCATGTTCTGCTTTTTCTCTTCCTTGCTCTTCATCGGCCGCCCAGCCCCTGCCACCTGCCTCCTCCGACAGACCACCTTTGCAGTTACGTTCACAGTGGCTGTGTCAACCATCACTGCGGTCATCGCCTTCCGGGCTCAAAGGCAGCAGGGTCTGAAAGGGGATGAGTCCCCAGAAACTTTCTGTTGTCTTCCTTTGCCCCTTTATCCAAGTGACCCTCCGTGGCATCTGGCTGCGGGCATACCCTCCCTTCATAGACAAGGACCCGAGGGCCACGCCTGGCTACATGGTCATCCAGTGGAATGAGGGCTCTGTCACTGCCTTATATTCTATATTGGGCTATTTGGGCTTCTTAATTTTGGGGATCCTTGCTGTAGCCTTTCTGGCAAGGAACTTGGCTGATGCCTTCCACAAAGCCAAGTTCCTCACCTTCAGCATCTGGTGTCCTGCAGTGTTTGGGAGGCCTTCCTCCCACAGCACCCAGGGCAAGGCCACAGTGGCCGTGAGATCTCCATCATGGGCTCCAGCGCTGGGTTACCTGGCTGCATCTTTGCTCTCAAGTGCTATGTGATCCTCTTTCATCCAGAAAGGAACACTCTTCAATGTTTAAATAAGAAGCCTAGGCCAGGCGTGGTGGCTCACGTCTGTAATCCCAGCACTTTGGACACCAAAGTGGCTAGATTGCTTGAGCCCAGGAGTTTGAGACCAGCCTGGGCAATGTGGCAAAACCCCATCTCTACAAAATATACAGACATTAGCTGCAGGTGGTGGCAGTGCCTGTAGTCCCAGCTACTCAGGAGGCTGAAATGGGAGGTCAAGGCTACAGGGAGCCGAGATCACACCACTGCACTCCAGCCTGGAAGACAGAGCGTCACTTGGTCTCAATAAATTAAATAAATAAGAAGCCCAAAAAACCAGAAAGAGACCAAACAATAAACAGATTGAGGACTGTAATGATCATTAGTGGTAGAGAATTTGTAACCTAATTGAAGAAAGCATACCTGAAAATTAGTAAAGACTGAACTATTTGAACAAAATGGCAATGAAAGATAGGAAATTTCAGAGGCAAAACCTGAATATCCAGCGAATAATAAAAGGATTCTGGCTGGCTCAAAGGTAGTGAGTTTTACCAACTGATTGTCCACAGTCAGTCACAGACCAAATTCCTCATTCTGCTCTTTCACCCCTCCTCACTAATGCGCTTGACTAGTCATTAATGAAGGGGGAAAAAAAAGATGCTAAGCCTAATTGATAGTCAAAAATTCAAATTTAAGAAAACGAAATAGTTAATTACTTCTCACTACAATGACAAAAATTACAAATCTGTAATCACTAAGTGTTGATTGGGATGTGGAGCATATAGACAGGTCTGTGGGTGGGGCGCGGTGGCTCACGCCTGTAATCCCAGCACTTTGGGAGGCCGAGGCGGGTGGATCACGAGGTCAAGAGATCGAGACCATCCTGGTCAACATGGTGAAACCCCGTCTCTGCTAAAAATACAAAAAATTAGCTGGGCATGGTGGCGCGTGCCTGTAATCCCAGCTACTCGGGAGGCTGAGGCAGGAGAATTGCCTGAACTCAGGAGGCGGAGGCTGCAGTGAGCTGAGATCGCGCCATTGCACTCCAGCCTGGGTAACAAGAGCGAAACTCTGTCTCAAAAAAAAAAAAGGTTCTGTGAAGACACTAGAACTGACTGGGATTTTAGCACCGAAATCAACCTCAAAGTTCGATTGTGCACCCTTCGTTGCATTACAGATGGTGCCATGCTGGGCCACAGAGCTTGCCCCAGGTCCCGAAGCAAAGTGGCAGTGCCTGGGCTAGAAGTTCATCCCTATCAATTTTCACTTACGGAATCTCAGGGCTCAGTAAAGAACGACGATTGACGGAGTCACACAGCAACTGGTGCGACAGGGACAGGTTTCCGGAATTCCAGTGTCTTAATACCAAGCCCTTGTAGCATTTCTCAGAGAGAACAAAACCATTGGTCTTGTGTGCTCAGAAGAAAGCTTAGTGGTCATAAAATCCAATACATACAAAACTTGCAGATCAACGCACCAAGACCCTGGAGGAAGTGACGGCGGTAACTTGTCCAAATCTCCAGAGAAAAGGTAAGAATGGTGATCATCAAAGATGCGGACACTGTGTCCCGGCTATTGCTCTGAGGGTCCCTTAATTCTCACAACAACCCCTATATTTTAACATCAAATTCTAACATCATCCTCACTTTACCTATGGGGAAACTGAGGCACGGTGTCTCTCTCTCTCTCTCGCCTGAGGCCCTAATAGTAAGGAAGCAGAGGAGGGGTTCCAGACACTATTTCACAAAAAGGGAAACCGAGGCCCAGAGAGGGTGAAAAGTCACGGGCTCACCCTCTCCGGAACGAGTGGTACTGGATAGGTGGCCTCAAAGACATAGCTTGACTCAGAACCCACAGCCCCTTCAACTCCGCTTCCTCCCCTCCCATGGGCGGCTGTGAAGTCACAGGGGAAGTGGGAGGGGCCGTTACCATGGAGACTGGCCCATTCAGAAACAGGGTAGAAACTGGGAGTTGCCCTCATGTCCCGGGCCACCACTTTGGAGCCAGCATTTTCGGTCTCGGAAATGAGACCCAGAGCGCCTCGCGCGAGCAGCCCCAACTTCTCCGCAGGCGACTTGCGGCACCGGCCGGGTGACGGAAGCACCCTGGACCCTGGACTTGACAGACGCAGAATGAGGACCGAGCCGCCGCAATGCGCGTGTGCAACTCTGTCCTGGCCTTATGGCATCTCCACCAATCGGAATCCTGCTTTTTGCCTGGCCCCGCCTTATTCCCAGACTTCCGGTGTCTCGCTGGCTCCAAAAGAACGTTCAAAGTGGAGGACTCGGCGACTTCCAGAGACTTCTGGGTATTGTAGTCTCAAAGGTGTAGAGCAACAGGAGGAGCACGTTTGAGTAAAAAGAAACTTGGAATACAAATGCCTAAACCAGTGATGATTTGGCGGGTTGGAAACACTGGTTAGATGCTTTCACCCGCTGTTATTTGTGGGGAAAGCAGGAAGGGAGGAGAAGGAAGGCGGCCGCAGAGGCTTCTGGGAGTTCTGCTTCAGCCGACTGAGCAAGGGCTGGGAGCTGCGACTCCCGCCCCGGATCCGGAAGTGGTCGCCGAGGCCTCCTGGCAGCCAATGTGAATGCGAGAAGTCCCTGATCCAGGCGTCCCGCTCTCCCCGGCCCCGCTCTCCAGGTCCTACCACGATGACTGACTCGTTTGCGGCCTTGGGACCGGTTGTAGGGCGCTTGACCGTCACTAGTAGACGTTTCTGATTGTGTCGCGGTCACCATGGTAACGACTTTCGCTTCCCTTCCGCCCTCTATGGTGACGTCATTGGAGGAGGCCGGGCTGGGGTGGGTTGGGGACAGGGAGTGCGCATGCGCCTGGGGCGAGGAGGCGGGAGGAGGGGAGATCCGTGGGAGGACCGAGCTCCCGGGTGGGCTTGGAGGAGTTCCCGTGACCTTCCGGGTTGTTTGTGCGGATGGGGCAGCTTTATTTAAATAATAATACGCGTGCGGGCGACCTGCCCGATTTCTGGCGGCGTGCTTTCTAGTAAGTGCGCAGAGACTTTTCGCAAGAATTGATTCACTCTTTTCCCCTTCCTTCCCGATTTTTGGTTGGAAACCCAGACTTTCTTTCACGCCTGTCGCCAGGTTAACTAGGTCACTGTTTGCTCTCAGGAGCAACCCTTCCTCCCGCAGTTCGCTTGGTCCTTGATTACAGCTTCGTGGCCAAGGATACAGCGGCGAGCTCGACAGCTGAATGGCCTCAGACCTTAGGAGTTTCTCAATACCAGGGTTATTAACACTGGGGGCTGACACTGCTTTGTTGTGGGGGGGCTGGCTGCCCTGTGCGTTGTAGGATGCCGAGGATCTTCCCTGACCTCCACCCACTGGATGCCAGGAAAAATCCTCTCCAGCCTCCAGCTCCCTGGTTGTGACAACCAAAAGTGTCTCCAGACATTGCCGAATGTCCTCTGGGGCTGAAGTCAGCTTATTGAGAACTGCTCTAACGGTTTTCCTGAACACTCTTCTATGCCTTCTTATAACTTGGTCACCCAGTAAACTCTCACCAGCTGGTTGAAATCTCATGTGGATGACACGATCTGACACATTAATTTCATTTTAAATCAAATTTAAAAGCATCCCCACCATCAAAGGGAAGGGATGATTAAATGTACAAAGGCCATTAATGGTATGCAGGAGAAGTTACAAAAAAACTAACATCAAGCACGTGGGCATGTGATCATCTGGTTAGCATATAAAACCTTATAATGATAAATGAATTTATAAAGCTAGTTTAAAAATTAGTTAATACTGGGTTCCACCAAAATAAAATATATCATTTTTGCCTAAGTTATCTATGGAGGAGGGATTGGCATTCTTTTCTGATATGGTTTGGCTGTGTCCCCACCCAAATCTTATCTTGAATTCCCACATTTGGGAGGGACCCGTGGGAGGTAATTGAATCATGGGGGCAGGTCTTTCCCATGCTGTTCTTGTGATAGTGAATAAGTCTCACGAGATCTGATGGTTTTTTATAAAGGGGAGGTTCACTGCACAAGCTCTCTTCTCTTGTCTGCCGCCATGTGAGACGTGCCTTTGACCTTCTGCCATGATTGTGAGGCCTCCCCAGCCACGTGAAACTGTAAGTCCATTAAACCTTTCTTTTGTAAATTGCCCAGTCTTGGGTATGTTGTATCAGCAGTATGAAAACAGACTAATACATCTTACATCTGTCTGTCATCAACTTACTGGGTGGTTTCCGTGGCTTTTAGCAGTTTATTACACTTTAAAGGATCGTTTGCACACGAATCGCTATAAGAAAAGACAAGAGCTTCCTATGAGCTGTTATGCAAACACAGCCATATCAACTCAGTCAGAATGTTTCAAATGAAAGATCATAACAGTCACTGGTGCTAGCAGGCCTGGTGTGCTGGCAGTGCCTGAGCTATGGTTGCAGGATTGCTGTGGAAACACTGTCTATAATTCCCACAATGACCGTATGAAATAGGTACAGTGTGCATCCCCATTTAACAGAGGAGGACACGGAGACACAAGTAAAGAAGTTGCAATGATATAGTACAGAGCGTTCTCATGTATCCCTTCCCCGCTGCTCCCTCTACTGTTAACGTCTTATGTAATCCTAGTAGATGTGTCAAAACTGTAACATTGCTACAGTACTGTTAACTGCAGACTTTATTGGCACTTCCCCAGTGTTTCCTCTAAAGTCCTCTTCCTGTTCTGGGGTCACATGTGGGACAGCACATGACGTTGAGTTGCCATGTCTTCCTGCCCTCCTCTGATCCGCAACAGTGTCTCTGACTTTCCTTGTTTTTGATGACCTTGACGGTTTTGAGGAGTACCGACCGGGTGTTCTGTGAAACATGTCTCCGTTTGGAATTGTCTGATGCTTGCTCATGACTAGACTCGGGTTATGGGGAAGGACTGACTTAAAAAAAATTTTTTTAAATTTTAATTAAAAATTTTAAACTGATACTCCGTTCAATTATTAGACAATCTTTAACCCATGTTTGGAAAAACCGGGATAAGTGAATCTCCTTTTTCACTAGAAATGTTAGAAAATGTAACTGCAGCTCAGTTTTAGCATTCAAATTGAGATGTGCTGTAAGTGAAAAATACACAGTGGATTTCAAAGACATAATAGGAAAAGAAGGACAGGACCGATCTCATTAACCATTGTTTGTATCGGTTACTTGTTACAATGTATCTTGGGTAGATTGAATTAAATCGTGCCTGTTGTTCAAACTGATTTTACCGGCTTCTGGGCTAGCAGGAAGTGTGAAATATATAAATACGGCTCACAGGTTCCTATCGGGTGACACTGCCCTAAATAGTAGCAATACATTAATTGAGAAATACATGCCAGGCAGTGTGTTTTAGAAATATTATCTCATTTAGAACACATGGACAGAGAGAGGGAAACAACACACACTGGGGCCTGTTGGGGTGTGGGGTTGTGGGGAGGGAGAGCACTGGGAAAAATAGCTAATGCATGCTGGGCTGAATACCTCCGTGATGGATAGACAGGGGCAGCAAACCACCATGGCACGTATTTACTATGTAACAAAACTGCACGGCCTGCACATGAACCCTGGAACTTAAAAATGTAAAAAAAAATAATTATCTCATTTAAACTTTATGAGGCAAGCTCAGTAGACTGTTTCTTAAACTCCACTTTTGAATGATCCCTGGGGTAAAAGAAGATTCCATCCCTCTATGCAATCTACCAACTGATGCTACAGGCTCACCGAACGTCCTTGGCTAGTACAGTGCTTTCTTTCTTTTTTGAGACAGAGTTTCACTCTTGTTACCCAGGCTAGGGTGCAACGGCACGATCTCGGCTCACCACAACCTCCGCCTCCTGGGTTCAGGCAATTCTCCTGCCTCAGCCTCCTGAGTAGCTGGGATTACAGGCACGTGCCACCATGCCCAGCTAATTTTTTGTATTTTTAATAGAGACGGGGTTTCACCATGTTGACCAGGATGGTCTCGATCTCTTGATCTCATGATCCACCCGCCTCGGCCTCCCAAACTGCTGGTATTACAGGCTTGAGCCGCCGCGCCAGCCCAGTGCTTTGTGTTTTGTAATATGCCTTCATTCTTCTCTGTAGCTTCAGTTGTGTGATTACCAAGAGCTGGTTGTATTTATTCTAAACCTTCTCATTCTAATGGATTTTATTTCAATTATGTAATGCAATTGCATTTAACATAAATGAGGAAAATATGAGTACGTAGGCAAAGAATATTTTCCATCAAAACAATAATTCAGTGGGAAAGATGTGAAAAAGGCTGATTGCTAATGACAGCAACAACAAAAGATGTGTGAAGTTGGAATGGGCAAGATGGCTACCGGGATAGTCTTGTTCTTTTTTCTTAAAGTAGTGAGGATGTTGCTTAAATAGATTTGGAAGCGTGCCTGTGTCTCTGCTGACCTTTTAAGGGGCAAACTGGAAACTGTAGGTCCATAGACAGGTACAACAACAAACCCTGGCGTTATATCAAAGATTGGCAAATGAGTGTACAATTTTACATTTTAAAACAAAATGGTGAAAGTTTTTTTTTTTTTTTTGAGACGGAATTTCGCTCTCGTTACCCAGGCTGGAGTGCAATGGTGCGATCTCGGCTCGCCGCAACCTCCGCCTCCTGGGTTCAGGCAATTCTCCTGCCTCAGCCTCCCGAGTAGCTGGCACGCGCCACCGTGCCCAGCTAATTTTTTGTATTTTTAGTAGAGACGGGGTTCCACCATATTGACCAGGATGGTCTCAATCTCTTGACCTTGTGCTCCAGCCGCCTCCGCCTCCCAAGGTGCTGGGATTGCAGGCGTGAGCCACCACACCTGGCCGGTGAAAGTATTTTTAATTACCTTTTGGAACCAACCAATGTTGGTTCTGATCATGATGATAAGAGGACTTCTACCCTGCGGTTACTGTCCCCATTTTACAGATGGTAAAATAAGGCATTGAGAGACGATAACCTCCCCAAGGCTGCATATCCAGCAAGGGGCGGAGCTGGGATTCAAACCCAAGAGACCTGTCTCCAGGGACCAAGCTCTCGACCAGGACATGGAACCTCCTCCAGAATAGGCCAGAAACATGCAGGCTGGAGAGCTGGACACGGCTGTCTCCTGGAGCAGCCACATCCACACATCTGTATTTCCTCGATGGGGGAGTCCCACATCTTGACACAAAGGGATACGGAATTTGGAATGAGTCAAACTGGGTCAACTCTCAGCTCTGTAGCTTAGTGTGATGTTGGGCGAGCCATCAGTCCCTCTGAACTGTGGTGTCTTCACCTGTAAAGTACACAGTTAGCTGGTGCTGTTTATGATTCTTGGTAAACCACCAGCATACCTGTTAATTCTCAGTGTTGGTCGAATGGAATAACCAAGCCTTTTCAGCCCTTTCCACAAGTATGTGTTTTATTATGGAAGTAGTGGGGAAAGTTTGAGAATGACCTGGAGGAGAGATTTTAGGAGAAACCCCTGCAGATGCTGTCTCAGTCGCTCTGGGTGCATCCTCCCAAGGCACGGCTCCCACAGACACCTTCCGGCCATGCCTCTGGGCACCCACGTGCCATTCCTTAAAGGACCCAATTCATTACCCTCCACACAGAGAGCTTTCTTCAGAGGCGAGAATGCCTGGGAGATGGAGGCCTTGTGAGGGCTGAGCTGAAGTAGCAGGCTCACGAGAAAGAACAGCAGGGATCATCCCTAAGAAAGGACAGAAAAGAGAGAGAAATCTGTGCAGACTTTCATCATGCATTCTCAAA